GACTCCGAGTCACTTGAGTCGACTTAAGTCAGGTCTCAGATTTGAGAATCAAGAACCTTGTAATAGCCCTACAGCTAATCTACAGTAGCAGAATGTGCCACATTTGCAACTGACAATGGCCGTTTGGGTAATTCAATAGTGATGGCTGAGATATCCTTCACCAACAGAGTTTGTGATGCTTCACACAGCACAAAGAGTACTAGAGCATATTTTATTTATTCATTCTACTTTCTTTCACTGAACATGTGTGTCTAAACCCATTTTGAACTCCACCACTTTTGCCAATTGAGTATAGAGATTAATTTTCAAGTCACTTCGGCATTGCCAACAGAATCAGTTGCCCCCACAGAAATGTGAGGGTGTGCTCTTGTAGAAAAATCATATTCTGTGCTCGGAGCAACAGCATGGGGTCCCAAAGTCTGAAGACTGACTTAGTGGTACCATACCATAATTGGTTGAGGGCCAGAGACAAATTCTCTGAAAATATGAGATACACCATTGTTGTCCTTGCACTTGCTGAAAATATATTACCACAAGTACCTCAGAGCGTCTATTGCATAGCATGGCATGCTTCTGCAACTCCAAAATGCTTGATAGGATCTTGTGCTTGCAAATCTGAGGCTAATAGCTGAAATAGGGGCTTTATGCAATAGTGCCTATTTTCGTGCTTCTGGCTCCATTGAAGGCTTGAGAAACATACCATAATGTATTTTTTAATGTTAAATTAGCAAGATATTGTTTCAGGAGCTCTATTTAATTGACTCAAAGTTGCTTTACAATCAAAAAATTATCGTAAAGTGAACGCTGGCCCCTGTGGCTGTGCTCGGTCTCCTGATCTACATCTCTTTTGCCCCGCCACCGTCTATCTCACTTAAACTGTGAGCAACGAGCCATCCATAGACATTGGTATGGCTTCTGAAATCTCCCGCCGGTTCTCTTGGTTGATCAATCATTCACAAGGGGAACAATCTTGGGTCAATGATGCACAGTTCTGTTTTAACAACCTGTGAACAACTACATATCAAAATCAATGAGCTCTTGGAGCTTGTTCGAATCAACTTCCACAGGCAATAGGAGGTGCCAACCATTGCAGCTAAAATTCACTGGTGCTGATTATGCCCCTATCCAAGCCACCACAGTGCCTTCGGAACAAGTATTCTTGTCCTCAGCTGAGACAGATACTAAATGTTGAAACTGCACCAGTGCCATGCTGATGGAGGCTCTGCAAATGCTCAAGTTCAATTACAAGAAATTGAGGCTCAACTTTATGTCTGACTGGCAGACTGTTCCTGTTGCGGACAATGATGAAGACTGGCTTCAAACTCTGGCCGACACAGACAACAAAGACAGGGATGTGATTTGGCGCGAGATTGTTGACAGTTGCAACTCAGCAGATGGGATCATATTTAGGGAAATGCCAGAGGAGAACAATGAGTACTTGAATTTGTATCCTGCCACAGTTTGACTGTTACTTACAGTTAGTATTGTAAAAATTCATATTGCATGCTAACACTATCTGTAACATTCAGATTTGTATACCCAAGTGCCATCCAACCTTGTGAATTAATATTGGTGTGACTCAACTGACTTAAGTCGACTCAAGTGACTTGAAGTGACTTGAAGTGACTTGAGCTGACCAAGTCAAGTCAAGTCAAGTCGAAAGTTGCCACAAGTCGACTTAGCCAAGTCGACTTCCGACTTAACAAGTTGCGGCAACATTACTCCGAACCTATCAAGAAAACGCCAACCAAAACCAAACCTACACACAGAAGTGCATCGGAACGGAACGGAAGTGCTCGAGACGTGCACAGACGAGTATCAGACCCTGGTACAGGGCCTTATAAAGGGTTGCAGGGGAATGGTATAGACCTCGGGAACGAGGAGAGAGCGTTGTGTTGTTTATAGAAGTCCTTGGAACAGAGTCCAAGTACTTGAGCCTTGATCTGAGTGAACCGGAATGGAACCGGAACAGACAGGAAAGCTAGTGGAACACGATGAGAGTGTCGATGCGTATGGAACCCTTGCTATGCAAGTGTTCAGGCTAGATCTGAGTGAACGAGGATAGACCCGAACAGACAGGAAGCACAGAGCGCGATGATGTAAAGCTTCTCAGCTATGAAAACAAACAAGAACAGGATACTGGGGTTCTCCAAAGTGAGGTAGATGCCGATTCCAAGCGTGACACAGTAACAACAGTAGTGGGTTCCGATCCCAAGCTCTTTAACAGTAGTGGGTTCCAATCCCAAGCTTTCCAACAGTAGTGGGTTCCGATCCCAAGCTCTTCACAACACAACCCAAACAACCAAGTGCATACTCAGCACAATTCTGCGAGCCAAATAGGCTCAACGACTGTCAGCAACGGCCTCTGGGTCAGCTAAACAATGAGGAACCCGATGAGAACCCCAACCAGGATAAACCCGATAGACGCTAATAGCTTGTGTGTTCCCCGAGCAGTAGGACCAGTCGTATGGTGTCCTCCCTAGGAGGCCGTATGTCGTAGGTCGGGATGCGAGGCGGAACCCGGAACGAGTCGAAGAGGGTGTGATATCCACCAAGGTATACAACCCAAGGCGTGGATACAACCCGTAGTACGATGTTGTGGAAGCGGGGCAGGGTGGAGACAATGCCTATCTCAAGCCAAGGTAGAAGCCTGAGATTAGACGAGGTAGAATCTACTGTACATGGAGATTCTACTGTGCTTATATAGGCTTCTAATAAATTAAAGTGATCGCGGTCAATCGCGATCAGTTCCTGTACCGTAGCATTAAGGTGTTAATGCTGATATTCCTGGACTCCTCTATGTTGGTTTCCGTGGTGTCGGTGGACCTGGGAGAACCGACGTTCGGGTTTCCTAGTCCTGAGTATCATCGTATCCAGTGGTTCAAACCCCGATCGGGTTTGCAACCACTCCTGTACTTCGTGTACGCTTCCCTGTCATCTGTGGTGCATCCGGGGACTAGATCTGCCTGTACGGGTTCCTAGTCCCTAATGTCTTCTGTATCCCGTGGCGCAGACTCCCTGAGTCTGCGGCTTTTAGAATCCGAGGCCGGGTTTCAACCGTGAGAAGGTCACGTGGTGGCGTCATGAGAGTCCCGTGTTGCTAAGACGCATCTGTATCCATACAGACACATCGCGCGAAAAAGTAGAACCCAGGCGATTCATGACAACGACCTTCCCAGGCCGACCACGACGTCCGGTCCCTCTCCACACGGATTGGAATGGCCCATTTAATCTTTGAATTCTCCCTATGGACGGGCTTAGTTTGTTTGAGCCACAGGATGTTGGACTTACACCCCATCTGCAATAGCAGCACTTCTCTCAAGATCCGCTGCTATCTGGCCAAAAGCAGTTGCAGCGGTTTCAATCCAAGTCTGATCTCCAATCTCTGGAACAAGAACCTCTAATATAATAAGCATCTTTTGGGCAATTTGTTCAGAGTGAATTCGGAGTCGCATTGGATCTGCCTCCTCTTGGCGCAGCAGGGTAGCAGCCCAATTAGTGCTGGCCAAAAATACAATACAGAAAAATATATTTTGAATATATTCAAATACATATGAATATGATATGGCCTTGGACCCTCGCACTGAATATGAATACGGGTGGATATGAATATGAATATGAATATGATATGGATATAATATGATACAGTGGTCAGCATATCCAGATATATTTGGATACACTCAACCACGGTTTGGGCTACTTCAGACTTCAATCGGCATGGGTCTGTAGACTTGTAACCAGTCTGCCTACGCCGTTCTAACAAGGCGGGCTTGTTGCCGTAGGCAGACTGGTACTTCTCGGATGTGTCAATCGAGCTGGGGCGGAGTTTGAAATTAAGTTAGTGAGGCTGATGATGCAATGATGCAATGAGCTGCGGCAATTCCGGAGATCACGGTCCGAAGTTGATCGCCACTAAAACTACCCTCTGTTCTGTCCCACAAATACAGAATGTAAGGAGGCAAAATTGGAGGGATACAATTTTCATTCATTTTCCCCGCTTCAACCAAAAAATAAGCTTCAAAATTGAGCACAAAATGAGTAAGAATTTTAAAAGGTCACTTGAATTTCAAACTCCGCGACAGCCCTTTTGGCAGCTCCGAGAAGTACCAGCCTGCCTATGGCAACAAGCTCGCCTTGTTAGAACGCCGTAGGCAGGCTGGTTACGAGCCTAACGGGTCTGGTGATCCACACTGAACATCATGGTCAGAAGCTAGCTCGAGTCTCTCCCAAGCTGTGTTCCGGCTCAGAAACTCTTACCATGAGCGACTTGATGCAATCAAAAAATGTTCCAACATTGAAGGTGAGGCTTGCCGGGCATCTGGGTTCAGCATTTTGCCTCAGAACTGGGCCTCTGAAGGCTCATTTGTACCGCAGTCCATAAGGAACATCTTTTTGATTAAGCTGGGCAGATTTCAATGTGTTGTTTGGGGGCAAAAATTAGACCAGAATATATTTGAATATATTCATATCATATTCACATTCACTCTCGGTGATATGAATATGATATGCTACAGATACAATACAGATGGGAAGAGGTGAATATGATATGGATATGAATACGATACAGAAATTTCATATTCATATCATATTTTGGCCAGCACTAAGCCCAATCATAAGCAGAGGAAAGGATGTGGTGAGCACGAAGTACGTCAGGGTGCCAGTGAAAATTGTTGGGAGTGTCTGGGAGAGTAGGAAATTCTGCTGGATGGACCATGTCGTTCAGAGCAATTGATATCAGATATGTCAGAGGTCATGCTTTTAGATAGAAGAACTTGGCACCGAAGCCTCGGTTTGATGACGGAGGATGTCTGGGATGAAATTGAAGGAGCTCAACTTAAGTTAATGCCGGTCTGAACCACATTGGAACTCAAGTCCTGCCGAACTTAAGTTCTGCGCTGCATGCAATCAGCCTGTACATGTGACGACCCCACCCCTGGAACTTAAGTCGCGTACCACTCAGGTCCCGCAAGACTTAAGTCCTGTCCGAACACCAAAAACAAATCCACCACAGAGATTCAAACTCCAGACCTCCTGACATTTTGCCAGCAGAAGATAAAGGTGTTAACCACTACACCAAGAGGGATATAGTATCTTAAACACACGAAGATAACATTAGCCCCATGATGGCCTAAACATTCTTCACTTTCTTTATTCTCCCTCTTCATGTCTTGTGGCCAAACCACTATCCATAGATGACTTAGAGATTGATCTGTTCCAATAAATTAATCTATATAAAAAACATGATGAAAGATGACTGGAAATGACAAGTGCGTCAATACATATGCAATACTTACCATAGTACAAAGAGGGCATGGAAGACATCTAATCACAGTCTGATTGAGCCCTTCAGGTATGGGCTTCTTGGTGTAGTGGTTAACTCTTCCTATCTTCTTCTTCCATAAGTTGGAAGGTCAGCTGTTCAAATCTCTTAGGTGGATTTCCTTTTTTGTGTTTGATATAGTCCTTGCTGCAATCACTTGAGTTCTCTATCACTTAAGTCCTCTGGTAGTCTGGACCACCTGGAACTTAAGATGAGCTAATAAAGTATCTGGTCTGGGGACGAGCGTAGCCTGATGGTAGACCTCCGTCATGGCTTGGGTCATGCGACTGGAGTTATGAGAAAAGGGAGACCTCAAAGGAAGAATAGATTTTCTGGAACACAATTCTGTATGCATACAGATCAGACTTCAGACTCAACTACCCAGTGATTTGGATCGGACCTCGCGTTTTTTTCAACCAAAACTGTCCGCATTGTGATGAGACGTAGAGGCCATTTTGGGGCCCAATCCGTCCGCATCAGGATCCCGTATTTGCCGTGGGCCTTCGATATCATGATGGAAATGATAGGAGTGTTTGGACTTGCTTGGATGATCGCTTGCGTCTCTTTGTCTTTTCCCATCTTTTCTTTCGTTACTTGCATATGTCGGAAAGCGGTGACTCGCAGAGCTCCGAAGGCGACAACCACCACCCGCAGTATTATTTCTCAGATGGCTCAGCTATCTTCCAAGTGCGTGTTCCTGTGTTCCTTTACAATATGCAGGGAGGTCTGATCTTTACAATGCCACGCTAGCTGTGTCCCGACGGCCAACCCGGATTGCTCTACAAACTCCATGCCAGTGTTCTGGGCTTCAGATCGGCTATTTTTAAGACAGTGTTTTCGCTTCCACGGGGGCCGAATGTACATCCCGATATCAGAACGGAAGGTGCATCCAACTCAAACCCTATCAAGTTGCCGTGGACGCTCAATCAGCACGACTTCGACCACTTATTGTGCTATATCTATAGGGGACCAAAGTAATTTTCTTTCAATCCACAGCTGAATTTTGATTCTCATTTGGGCAGTATGCATCCGAAAACAGATGACTTTTTGATTTCGGTACTCAAGCTCTCGACGTTCTTTCAAATCCAGGACGGCATCGCTCATGCCGTTCAGGAGTTTGAACTGAAGGGCCGTGGCTTTGATCCCCCTCTCCAATTCGAGCTTGCACGACGTTACCGGATTGATCATTGGATTGAGCCCGCTTTCCACAGGCTGATGGAATTACCCTAGACCGAACTCGACATGCCCCTCATGGACCAGATGGGGCATCCCAGTTTTTTTTTGGTTAGTGAAGACGAAGGCTGAGGTTGAGAAACATCGAAAGCAGTTCACTTTTGACACACCCACAATCATCAATGACCCGGACTGCGATACACCGGCTGTCTGCTGTCTGGTATGGTCTCGTGAGTGGAATACGGATGTTCCGAAGATCGTACATCATCCCAATGTTCAAACGAGCCTCGTTGACCTTCTGAACTCACTGTGAGACACGGAAATCACCGGTTTATGCGATGTATGGCGCAAACACACAGTGAGCTGGATTTGGGGGACGGGCTATGCTACTGTGGAAGGTGATCTGGTTGACAAGGCTTTGGCGACATTGATGGCCCTTCAGACCGATGAGCCGATTCGCGCGGCACTCAGCAAAAATACCATTCGGTTTACCTCTGCTCCTCCATCACCATCATCTACACCACCCATCTGACCACCCAGTGCCTTTTTCGTTCACACCCCTTCTAGTTACATCGCATACCTCCATGAACATTCCCTGACTGACTGACGCATATCTAATTATACCTTTTCATTCCTCACGTCGTCGCTCCCGCTCCTTCCTTACCTTACTTACACTCAATCTAATGATTGCTCTGCATTTCTGAAGAAGTTCCCTGAGCGTACCTAAAATTGTTGCGTGGAGTTGAAAAAATTGGGGGGGGACATGAAAAGTTTTGCGGGCGACGTCAAAAGTTTTGCGGGAATCAGTGATTTCCCCGCAAAAGAAACACACCGATTATGTCCATCTTTTTAGCGCGGAGGGCGCTAAAACACCTATTTTTGTTGCGGAAAATTCGAAATCACCGAAAAATGTTGCGGCAGAATGAGTGTGCATTTAGACCGCCATAGACAATGGCGACCAGTATGTAGCAAAGTGTTTCTACAAGCTTACTGCGACCGAAGATGGTTTTGGTGTTGATTCGAAGGTTGAAGTGTCAGTTGAAGCCAATCGGGTTGAAGTTTGAAAGGCTTGCAATCGGCAAATGGATGCTTGATGCCTTCTACCATCACTGCAAAAGCCACAAAGATACCCGGGTTGAAACAAGTGAGGTTCAAAGCATTATGTAGTCCTTTGCTAATGCTTTGTCAGATATTGCTTTCACAGATGTATTCCTTGCTGTCGAGAAGTTGACCGTCCGTCTGTTGCCTCAGGAGTGCCTTTGATTCCTGAAGACAGTGATAGTCTGACTTGGTTGACGGAGAGGAAGTGCCCCAGCTCTGTGATAAAATTTAGCGGCACTTTGGTCCATCACTCCCATCGCAGAGATCTTCGTAGCGCAACAATCTCTGCATTTGCTCATTTTGTCTTTGGCTATAGCAAGTGCACACTTGTCGTTGCATATTTGCAAGGTAAATCTTGCGCAGTATGTTTTCGCATCACTGATTTATTATCCATCCTGTCAGGGAACGCCTTGCCTTGTTCGAAACCATGAAGGTCTCATCCTGTTTGATTTAATGACACATACCAAGGAGGGGTATGTTCATCGATACCTTTTCTTCTTGCATTCATTTCTAGCTCCAGAGACTCCGGAGTCGGAGACTTTGGACATAAAGGCATCCAGACATTCATTAACAATCACAATTGCACGGATTTGTGTCATTCCTTGTCTTTGGATACTCATTATCCGCTCATAATGCCAATATATGGAGAGGAAGATGCCAACTCAGACGGAGAGAAAAGGGGTTCATCTGATAATGATTCAGACGGAGGCAGCGAGTCACTGCAAGTTCATGACCAGAGTTCATGTTTCGAAAATTTTGCCAGTTGTATATATCATCTAATAATCATTGAAGATTACAATAATGAGCTGCAGGGAAACGGGAAGTTTATTCCACTCAGCAACGTTCTTGGACACACGGATCCATATGATGACAGCGAAAGCCTGGAAAGTATTGTCGCGCTTGACCGGCGGCTTAACCTCCTCCTCCTTGGCCCCTTCTGCAGCGGGCTCATCCTTCTTCTCATCCTTGTCCACCTCTTTCTCCTTCATGTCGATGTGCTCATCACAGTGGTGTAGCATGGCCTGAACCATCTGCACATTGCCGGGTATATACGAGAAACGAAAACGAAAATGTCTACAAGACCTTGCCGCCACTTCGCTCCGGGCCGGCCGGCAATGCCGCAACGTGACCTGGGAGATGAAAAGAAGAAGAGATATGCATTCAAGCTGTAAATACAACGCTGTAGGGAAGTATAGGGACCCGGAACACAGGTGAGAATGGGAAATGGCCTGAGGAATGCTTGCGATCCACCTGTTTGAGGGAAAGAAACATCCACAGGTCAACACTGGCAGTCCATATGTCGGGTGTTTTAATGCAAGTTTGGGGGAAATTTGTGGGCCGTGGAAAAATAGGCCAAGAATTGTGCGAAATGGTCAAGCAAAATGGTCTGAATGAACAGCAGGAGAATGTCTGTGAGTGGGTAATCGGTGAAACGTAGCCAGAATCCGAGTTTTCTGAGGAGTGAAGAAATCACAGGACAGGCTTGAAATGGAAGACCGCAGAGCCAGGCCAGTACCTTCAGGTAGGAAGAACGAGGTGCGAAGACAGGTATTATCCGGCTTTGAACAAAACCACAGCACAAGTTCATATGGTCTTGAAGTGCAGCACGAGACGAGACCAGGGGAACAATGTTGACTAGCACTGGCCCATCCAGATTTTGTAGTGGATGATGATCTTGAGCAAACAATAATCGCCGGTCGACAAAGTCATGCATGAACTGTTGAGGCAGTAGCAAAATGAATAGATTGACAGCCAACAAAAGCAACCAGAACTGAAAGTCGGGAGATTGCGAGCAAGGGTTCAGGCCGTTAATCCAAGAGAGAACGGAAAGAAGTAGTCATGGGCAATGCAGGGGACGCTGGAAGTTTATACATGCTCCGGTGATACGGCCCGCAGTGAGAAAAGATGCGGTGCAGTGAGAATTTTACACAGATGCAACAGCGGCGCAGATAGAAATTTGCTGCGTGAAGCTGCGGTGCGCTGACGGTCCGAGGGAAACATGGTCAGCTGAGCCATTGCTATTGAATACCGCAGGGACAGGCAGGGTACACAAATGGGGCATAAGCGCAGCACCCGCAGGACAGGATGAGAGGAAAAACCAATGGAGTTGGACCTACATGGGGCAATTGCACCGCCGAGAGACCATTTGCTTAAAGAACGGTTAATATATACAAGCCGTGCCGGTGCTTCGCTCCGGCAATTTGGAAGATGGAAAAAAAGAAATATATTGGATGAACAGCATACGCACTAGAACACCGGAAGGAGTACATACTGCCTGCCGGAAAACAAAAGATAAAAAGCGAAGAGGTGCGCGTATTTTACCTACATTTAGGGAGGGTCAGAGAGATCAAAAGTGCACTGGCTTGAGCCAAGAACAAAGGTTTTCCTCCCAGCTCCGGCTCGTCTGCGACAAAACATGAGTTGAACTTGGATTGCGCGGATATGCAGAAACAATACCGAGGTATATAAAAATATTCAGAAGATTGCAA